AGTAATGATTGTTGTTGTTTTGATGATCGTGAGCTTCGTTTTTGTGTAAACAAATCTGGAGAACTTAGAGATGTGGACGTATTTACTTTTGTAACAAAACATGCCAATCACCGATTTCTCCCAAATAAAATCTCAACCTCGAAAGCATACACCACAATCAGGTAGAGGAATGAATCCTATATCATTTGGTATTGTCTTCTTGCGAGATCGAGCTTTTATTTGCGAGAAATCGGTGATTCGCGTGTTTGGTTACAAAATCAAATACGTCAAATAATCACCAAATTCTCCAGATTATTTGACACAAAAACGAACCAGGCTTCAAAATTATCCGAATAGGGATGATATACAATGATATATTGGATAATGGATAATGGATAGGAATAATTTTGATGCCTGAGCAGCAGCGCAGCACGACCTGATCAAAGTCTCCCCTGCGATCAAAGACACCCCGAGTAACGGTAACTTTTTCTAGCAACCGATGAAAAAGCAGAATCCTTCAGGTGATATTAAGCAGTGAAATATTTATTTTTTTCTTTAGTTTCTTCGTGGGAAGGGCACAAAAACTGTGCGCTAGAACCGGAGGCTACTAAAGGAAAAATGATTATCATCAAGTAAACGAACGTCAACAATACTGATTGATAGAAAAATTGCAGTTGCTCAAGACACTCACTATGAAGAAGAGTGTAAACAGAACGACTGCACTATGGGGCATTTTCATACAACCAGGCGGTCAAAAATATTTCTATCATTTTTTCACAATTTCTGCTATTATTCTTGCTTTGTTTCATCAATATAAGGTGTGCGTTATCACTTTTCAACATTTTCACGACCAACTTTTGAAAAGGGCCTAACTTTTGATTAATTAAAATTTATTTTTTACGATTTTATAATGGTTACAGTTTCAAGCTTGTTTTCAGATGATAAAATCTATTGAACAAAGACAACCTACTTTTTTTTGGAAATATGTTTATTTTTTTTCAACAAATCTTCTGAAAAAAATACAAAACGCCATGATACAATAATCAAAATCAAATATGTTTCAACGAATTTCTTTTTATTCCTCTGTTGCAATATCATCATGAACAAATTCTTCTTCAATTTCATCGACTGCTTTCATAAGTTCCTCCAAGGCATTGAAGTTATTAGTATCGACTACTGAATCACTTACAGAATTTTCAAATATCATGAAACTTTTCACGATGTCGGGATAATCCAGGGATACTTTTTGCCTGTCTGCCTGCCATCTGTCGTCTTTTTGCCATCCAAATGGAACTGATCAGTGGGTCCGATTCATTAATGGCACGAATAAAGACATCATGTAAATTTTCTTGCATGATGGGTTCGATATTTTTTCAATTGTTTATGTTGACTTTCTGCTGCCTCTTCCGCTAATGAACCAAGTGGTGCTGGTGAATGTATGATTATTTCTCCGGTATGAGCGAGAACTTTATGCACCGTTGCAGGAATTTTGTACTAATCATACAATTTAAGATAGAGCCTATATGTTTCCTAGCAATATGCATCAAATTTTTCCGGGTTTATTGGCTCTTGGCAGTTAATAGCAATTAATATATTCCGGAGTCTGAAAATTAACTCTTCATCAATGTTCAGCACGGAGCTTAAAAGCTTGGGATTTCCAAATGCTCTTCGACAAACGTTTCCTGTAGTACTGGTACCTGCTCCACCCGATCGTGGTTGATCTACTCTAACTCCAAATTTTTCGTAAAGCTGTGTCGTCACATGTTTTTTTCTTTGTTCATATAGTTCTTTGAACGGATTCGTTATCTTCCATTTTTTGATATCCATTCTGTATGCAATATGCAAAAGGTATTCGAAAAATCTTATCCAAGCATGAAGTGAAGATATGCCGTAATGCAAGACTTCTTCGTTTGATATAAATCCTTCCTCGAATTTCTCTGCATCATTCATTACATTTGGTGTTGCCCCACATATTGGACAATTCTGCATCGACGAATTTCCAGTGATATAAGTTAAGACTTTTTCGTCTATCATACTGAGGACAAAATCAAAATCAACAAGTATAAACTTGTCGTTTGAGAGTTCAATTTTCACTGGCGTTAGTTCACTCATTTCTTTTTCTACATCCTGTTTTGTAGCCAGAATAACTTCTTTACTCTCTTTAATGAATTCAAGGATGAATGGCCTACAAACTCGAATACTTTGAGGCATGGGATTAAACCACATAATTTCCTTTCGATCATTGTACATGAACAACTGAATTGGTGTTAAAGTGGACGAAAATACATCTGAATCGTCCTGACATCCTTCTGGTAGCACTTGATGATATTGCGAATATCCAGTTGATCCGTCCATACCCCACCTACATAGAAGAACCAGTTCCGTAGAAACTAGATCGTTGCTATCCATATACTCGTTGAGCTCTGCATCAATTATTTGGACGATTCGTTTCACTGTATTTTCCATCAGCGCCTGGAGTTTCACTCTTATTTTCAATGCACTTTCTTCGATGAATTCACTAGGAGGGGCGCATATTTTTTTCACTCCGATCACATAGTAAGGTGGAAATCTTGAAGGTGATTCACTATGTATTACTTCGTATTGAAATCTACTCAATCCAGCCTCGATAAGTACACTAAAAGCCTCTTCTGGTGACATCATTCCTCGTTGATTGGTTAGTTGAGCCAGCATGGTTTTAGAGCTTTTTTGGTTTTTTTTAAATATGCCCAATAACTTTAACTAAATTAAAATCCTTTCGATTATAAGCGGTCCGTCTTGCAAATAACAAAGCTTTCTCGATGGTATCGAATTTTGGATCAACTGCTTCTTTATCGATGACGCGACGTTTTCCTCTTTCACTCAAATCCAAGAAAGGATTTGAAGGTCGTCCACGTTTTGTTCCCGAGGCCGAGGTTGAGGCAACACATTGCACCTGTTCGATGAATTCCTCGATGCCAAATTCTCCATCAAGCCAATTCCGAAAATACGACTCAAATCGCTCTTTCGTGCGATTAGCTTCATGCCATTTGTTGATGTATTTAGTAACGATTTTATGGATCTTTTCATCGAGACGTTTACGTTTTTCCACCGAGATGTTATAATTTTCACAAATGAATTCAGTGGCTCTGTGAACATTGTCACTATGGCTTAATTTTGCGTCTAATAGATTAATAATGGCTCTATTGTCCATGCTCACACTTGAGCTCAACCGTAAATTTGAATTACACTGTAGTAGTTTAAATAAAAGCTACACAAAATACACTATGGCTTCAAATTGACACTACAGTAGGTTAAGTACAGACTTAGGTATAAATTAAACTCATCCGCGCATATGCGTAGGTACATACTTACGCATATGCTTCTACAATCGTCATAACCCAGGTACTTACTTTAGAATAAAGCATAAACGAATGTAGTTTTACGTTCATCCAACAGTGAACTTTATGATAATGATGACTTCTTTTTGTACAAAATCTTAAGCCCTTTTTAAAAGTTGGTCATGAAATATTAGAAAATGTTCTTTAACAATATATTTCGACTATACCAACCGAATATAACTCCAAAAGTTGCAAATAATTTTCATTGTCAACTGTCGAAAGCAACTGGTATGTTGCTTGAGTGAGCGTCCGATTCGAGTGATAAAATAAAAAAAAAAGGGTGATTATGATCAGTCATTTTGTGACTTCTACAGTGACAGTTTTAAAGACTGGTCCGGTTGGTAAACAATGCTTCGGAATGTGCATGATAGAGGGTGCTAGTGTGCATGCAAAATACGCGTGACGATAATTTTTGAAGAATTTTCTTCTAAGAGTTATGTCTGTTTGTCTGTGGTATAGCCTTACACTTCGGTGTACGAGTGTGTACATGCTGTTGAGTTAGGGGAGGCCTTCAAGTAGCTGATTATCTGTCATCGAAGCTAAGTTTTCGGATAGCTGTACCCAGGGATGGAAAATCACTTACATTCATTTCGATGCCTCTAACTTTTTTCATCAACAAAATATCGTAAAATGATGTATGAAGCTTTTGTAGCTTTTGATATGAACTACAACTTTTGCTAAAAACTAAAATCTGTATCTCCTATGCATGACGAAATAGAGCTGGCAGAGCATGTTATTGTTTTTCAGTGAATGCAATTTACATTCACTGAATAACAATGGTGGGTTTTTATCGCTCTGACTTATCATGCATTAGAGATACAGATTTGAGTTTTTACAAAAGATGTAGCTTATATTAAAACCTACAAAACCTATAAACACTATTTTATGGAATTCTGTTGATAAAAAAAGTTAGAGGCAAATGAATGTAAATGAATGCACGAAATGAATGTAAATGATTTTCCATCCCTTGCTGTGCCCACCTCTGTATAGACTAAAGGCCTCAATTTGAACTTATCCTGATAAGCTTCCGGTATGTTTAGTTCGTTTATAATATCCTCCATACTCATCGGCTCTGAAGGTGACCCAACATCTTTAAAATTTATTGAAAAGGTCAAAGCCCCTGATTCAAATAAACCGATCAGCTTGTTTGTAAGATTGTCTTTTCAAACCAAGTGAGTTTCGATTGGACGATTGTATTCGATGGGAGTGTCATGAGAGAGAAGATCTTGCTTACACATTATCCTCCTAACTTGCTACCTTTAATGTCAGAAGACAACTGTTGATACCCTTCAATTCCTTTTTTCGTAAAAATCAAGTAGCGAAAAGTTTCTCATTGATTCGAATGCAGCCGAAAACCCCTAAATGAGCGGAAACCTTTAACGAACACAAATTTACCCAAGTGGAAATAAATTATCGACGTAATTTATTAGAACCAAGCGAACGGGTCCCCCCAACCCTGTTCGTCGACAAAACTTCTCCTTATTGACGGACGGTGGCGGAGAGCACCGCAGCGATTGAAACCCGATATTCCACCCCAGGGAGACATTTTCTCGCCCGGGCGATGATTTCCTCCCCCTGGGGGGCCCGAAAGTTTACTTAATTGATGGGGCACAAATTGATTCTTGAAAGATGAGATTAACTTACTTGTCGGCGTATTCCAGCGTCAGAGAGAACTTGTCGCTGGGGCTGAAGATGAGATGCTCGGTGTCTTCGCCTCGTTGCTCCGGTGTCGTCAGGGCGGCCTTCTCCGGGTGCTGCCGGTAGAAGGCTCGCTTCCGGAGCAGTTCCTTCTCGTACAGCCCCGGGACCAGTTTGTACACGATGGATTGCAGTGTGGCGTCGGGTCTGAAAAAAAAACGATGCAAAAGTAATCAACTTTTAGATTGGGCCGGCACAATTACAGGTTGGTGGTTCTAAATTAAAGCGTGTGTTCCTTGTTGCAGGAAGATATCTGATACCGAGTGTCGGTTGACCTGTAAGCGAAACAAGTGTTGTTGTTTTCCGAAATTAATTCGAGCCGGCATCATACTCGCAAGGCATATGTCGCGCCCTTGGTTCTCAAATGCGTAATATGTGGCTTGCTCGTAGAGTGGAGGGAAAAAAATGATAATTATCTCCCATTCCTTCAATTCCAACATCAGCAATAGCGCAGGCAACGTGCCTAGTCAGCTATGCAGGCTAAGCTGCCGGGCAATGCGTTAAGCGGAAAAGTTTGAACCGCTGTTGCTGCTCAAATGTTAATTACATTTTATAGGGAGGGAAACTAGACCAGAGCGGCCGTTATATACCGTAATGCATTGTTTACGACCTCTCTCGCCCGGCTTTGGCAACGGGAGAATGGTGGAAGGTGCATAAATATCAAATTAGCATTTCTACATAATTCCTCAATCGCCCAAATTCTTCTGCGGATGTTTTGATGTGTGTTCATAGAAATTAATTTCGAGACAATTTTTCGTATTTACACGAAAAATTCCCCAACCCGCTTTGCATCCACCGCCGTCTTGATTCCTCCTCATTCCGCGTGGCCATGTTATGCATTTTTGTTTCACACGCATTTCAATGTCTAATGGCGTTTGGTATAGAGAGGAACCAGGGTTGAGGAATTCACCACCGTCGTCGTCGTCGTCGTCAGGTCAGGTCAGGTCGGCCGGGATCAGCTGCTACCAAATTGCATCGCGTCACGCCGTTGTCGGTCCAGAATGGGAGATATTCTCCGGCTGATAGCCCAAAGTGACACACACATCCCATATATTATTCTGCTCGGATGGTATCCTTTTGCCGGGTGACAGCTTTTCGATTACCTCTACCGTCTGACGGGGCCGGGAAACGGGCACGGAAAATCGGCACATTTTCCCCTTTTTATTGATTTTTCGACACATTTTTGTACGGTGTGGCGTGGAACGAACCGGAGCGGGAAGATTTTTGCTGTTGTGCCTTCTTTTTTCTCTTCGCCGTGGGTTGCTTTCCACTGGAGTACAGTTTTGCCCATTTCTCTCTCACGGTGCGATGCTGAACGGAAGACGATGGCTGGGGGGGAGGCAGACGGGTGGAACGAAAGGGAAACGTCTCACCGTGTTGGTCTCAGGGTAGGCTGCGCTATTTCCCGAAAGTCAACGCGACGACGACAACCGGTAGCGGTTCTTTTTTTATTTGGGAGTTGTGACAGTGGCGAGTCGAATGAATGTGGCAACGGATTTAGGTTAGATTAGTGCTGGCACCAAATATGCACCCAAATCAAGAGTACGTTACATTAAATATCGATTTTTTTTTTTATTTTGGTATCGAAGGATTACCAACACAGTTGAGTTTTTCAACAGATGTCGCTAGTAAAAAAAAAAGAGGTAGAATTACTTCTCGGTATCAATATTCGGAGACTTTTTCCCATCACGGAAACGCCTCGTTTTTCATCACCATTGCAACAGTTGGACATTTGTGTAATTTTCAATAGTGACCTATTGAAAATTGGTAAAGTGGTGATAGCAGATTCATAGAAAAATTTCCAGTCGATTGGCTTGTTTAGAATTAAAATGCATCCGCTATTGACCGAGTTATAAGTGGTCAAAGCCTGACCACCTTTCGTGACGCGGTTGATTTTGGTTTTTTTTTTATTGCACCCCCAATATGTTGCCGAAAGACGTAATCCTACGTCAAAAGTAAAAGAGTCTGTGCATAGGGGTACGAACGGAAAGTTGACGTGAGACCGCGATTGGTCGGTACAATTGTTTGTGCTTAGTTTTTTAGTTGATTAAAATCTATAAACTTAAAACTCTTTAAATATTGCAAATGGTGGCCGGTTGTGTGAAAAGGTCCGAATCAAAATACGGAATGAAATGGAAAGTTAGAACAAAACCGTTAAGGAAGACTATCGTGTACCTGACGGCAATTAATGATTTTTGGAACCTGTAATTTAAACAGGGTGGCAAGTGAATTTCCATTTTGAAATTCCTGGTTTTTTCTTGGTTTTCCTGGTCAATGATTTAAAAATTTCCTGGTTTTAAAAACCATGTATCATTCTTCGCGCAATGCGGAATTTCACAAACCAAAATATGTATTAAGGTTCTTGTGAATGCCCGTGAAATCTTTACCTGATTGTTTGCTGTAAAGAAGCTAGTAGGGAGCCGCGCTACTTCGTCGTATCTTGGTGCCTATTTCCGTTCTATGTGCTAAGACTATAATAGCAAAGCGTTTTCACTCATGTTTTTGCAAAAACATCTTTGCTTACAAGATTAATTACGATAGACACTGAAACATTTGCGATAACCCGTAAAATGAGCGATTTTAGGGGTGTATGACGAAGAAAAACTTGAGATACGACGGACTAGACTCAGATTGTTTTAACTCTATTATTGAGATTTTTAGCCAACGGGCTAGTTTATCTCAAGGTGAAATTGCGAAGTGTGATATGAATAAGGACTCTCTAAACAAACCTTTGCTTCTAACAATTTTACGGATTTCCAGTTTGTTTAAATTTTCCGCAAGTTGTCAACGATTAAGGATCTTATTTAGCGGAATTTTGATTTCAAAATCATATTATTAAAAAAATTCATAAACAACGCTGGTTTAATAACTCTTATTATTAAAAAGACTGACTGCTGAAGTTCATAGAAACTCCCTAAAGTTCGTAGAACTTCCCTGAAGCGTTAAGGTCTTTCCTAAATTTCTTAAATATCGTAGAAGTACCACGAAGTTCGTAGAAATTCTCAGAAGTTCGTAAGACTTCCTTCAAGTTCGAAGAACTTTCTCGAAGATCTGAGGACTTCCCTGAAGTTTGAAGGACTTAACTGAATATATGAGGACCCTAAATTTAGAAGAGCTTCCCTGAAGTGCATAAGGCTTTAAATATCGAAGGGTTTTCCAAAAGTTTGTGGGTCTTTCCTTAATTTCTTGGAAATTCTCTGAAGTTTGGAGAGCTCCCATTAATTTCGTAGGACTACCTGCAGTTCAATCGACTTCTCGGAAGTTCTAGGAACTTTTTCGAGCTTGGAGCACTATGTTAAGTTCAGAGGACTTCTCTGAAGCTCGGAAAAAATCCATAAGTGTCATAGGATTATCCTTAACTTTTAAGCAATGCCTAAATGTCGTAGAAGTTACATTAAATCTGTAGAAAATTCTGTAAAATTCGTAGTTATTCCCAAAAGATCAAAGGAATTCCCTGTAGTTCGTAAGACTTCTCTGAAATTTGTAGAACTTCTCTGAAGGTTCGGAGAGATTTCCTGACCGTCGTAGGTCATCACAGTAGTTCACATGATTTTCCTGAAACTTGTAAGACTTTCCCGAATTTTGTAGAACTTGCATGAAGTTCGAAGGTGTTATCTGAAGTTTTTAGAAATAGAACTTTTTTATTGAACATGTTGAACAGGTACTTCAAAGTAGTTGCGCGTCGGCACTGCTTAAGTCTGATCTCAATTAAGCACAAATCATACATGCAATTTATTCGAGAAAAAAAATAAAAATAAATACAAAATATATTTGCTAAATTGTCAGGGTAAATTTTTTTCATCAATGTTTAGTTGTGTGAAAGATTTAGCTTTAACAAAATGGTTAGTTTTGACCTGATTATAAAAAGAAACTTTGACATAAGGGAAATGACGGCTTCGGCATGCCAGACTATTTTCGGCAACCCAAATTGAAACACTATTTTCACTGGATTTTCTTACGAAAACACTTCGCTGAATGCATGCAAACGATTCTTTATGCTTTCAGCTTCAATTTGACTATATTTTTATCACTGAGAAAAAGCAATCTAGCAAGGTTTTCTTGAAATGAAACACACGCACTAGAAATTGTAGCTGATTTCGAGTTGCCGATAATAGAACAGCAGATTTACATGCAGTTCAAATGGAACGGTTGCCGAAGAAAAACTGGTTGCCGACAATACTCGCTCTCACTAGAGAAGATTGGAGCTTTGTAAAAGCGTTTCAAAACAGTTTTTGATAATTCTTTCGACTGAAATTGTTAGAGCAGCTGGCAGCAAAAGATTGTAAACAAACCAATACTGCATATGTGTGTGTTCCTTAGAGAAAAGGGCTATAGAAAGAAGGTCGCTGCTTAGGTTGCCGAGAATACGTAAATTCCCCTACATAAATTTTAAATAATACAAACAAGATTATTTTCCTGGTGGACTTATGAAATTCTTGGCTTTTCTCCGGTTTTTCCTGGTGAAAATAAATTCCCGACATTTTCCCGGTTTTCCTGGTTCACTTGCCACCCTGAATATTACAAATGGTGGCCGGTAGTGTGAAAAGGTCCGAACCAATTTACGAAATTGAATGGACAGTAAGCAAAACCGTTAAAGTCTTTAAGATTTTTAGAACCAGTAATTTTAAGGTTTTTAAGTGTCATCATATTCTTTATAATAATATTATTATTGTTCTATAAAACTAGAATGATTTTGAATTGCTAATTTAACATAATCTTTCGCCTATATTGATGGTAAACTTAAAGTTACATTTCTATCAGTTTTTTGACAGCAGTTTCTATATTTTCACTACCTTGAAGATTATATTAGTCAGCAGGAAAATGTTGAACAACTTTTTGAATGTAGAACCAAATCATCAGCGGCGCCGGTGGTGTAGTGGTAATCGTGATTACCTCTCACCCCAGCAGGCCTGGGTTCAATCCCAGTCGGCGCCGCCGTGATGTCCTGAGGCATAACATCTCTGATCATGCCTTCCTTCGGAAGGGAAGTAAAGCCGTTGGTCCCCGGTTCATGAATTGATAGGTAGGGTCCAGGTGTGGGAGCTGCCTCCCTGGCGTCGGTAGCATTGGTGCTCAGCACGGAAAACAAGATCGACGGAAAACAAATCAAAGAAAAAAAAGAACCAAATCATAGCCAAAATTGCAACAACGCAAACGGGACGACACTATATCTTGAGATCATGACTAGAGACTGGAACGCGCAAAAATTGGTCGACAAAAAATCGTTTCTTTAAGTCAAAATTCATATCACAAAAATCTTCTTATTTTTCTTTTGGTAGTTCAATTCATATATTTAAAGGAAAAAATGTTCGTTTTTTCTTTTGGTTTGCCAAATCCGAACTGCCATCCCTTTCGCTTAACCTCTTCCATTATATTTTGCACAGTGGTCTCATCGACCTTATTCGCTGCCGAACGCCAGTTAGATTTAAACTGCCGCTCGTTTTCCATGGATTTCTTAGTTTTTTTGAGATTCCATTTGACCAATACCGTTCTATAGGGCGGAGTTCTGGGCTGTTTTTTAGGGTTGAGGTCTTTAGGTACCACAACCACGTTTTTCGCATCGTACCACTCGTTTACCTTTTTCCCATAGTGGCAGCTCGCCAAGTCCGGCCAGAACAGCACAGGTCTATTATGTTGCTTTAGGAATGGTAGCAGCCGCTTTTTTAGGCACTTCTGGACGTAGATCTCTTGATTGATGGTTCCCGTAGTAATGAAAATGCCACTTTTAGACCACACGTGCATATGGCCTGCCAGACGAGATATTTTGATGGTTTTGAAAATTTCAGCCACATTCCCTTTTCCTGATGCGGTATAAAACTCCTGTCCCGGAAGCTGCTTCAAATCCGCCTTCACATAAGTTTCGTCGTCCATGACGACACAGTCGAACTTTGTGAGCAGATTCGTATACAGCTTTCGGGACCGCTGCTTTGCCGACGTGTTTGGTTTGTAATCTCGGTTCGCCACCTTCACCTTCTTAAACGTCGCCAACCCAGCTCGTTTCTTGGCCCGCTGAGGTTAAGATTCCGCTTATATTTCACCGCCACCTTCTTCGTCGTCGCTGCCACGTCCGGATTACGATTGCCGCCGCTTCCAGGCTTCCTGGCGGTCGACAGACGCTCCCCGAACACCTTTAAACCGTTTGTCACGGTCGATTTGTCCACATCCAGCAATTTTGCCAACTTGGCGTGTGAGAACGTCGGATTCTCTTGCTGCGCGAGCAAAATTTTGGCACGCTGCTCCTCTTGCTTGGACGTCATTTTGAAAACTGGAAAGCAAACGGTGAAAACTCATCATAGTCAACTTCCAAATGCAGCATTTCAGGTTTTTTTTTTAATTTATTTTTAACAGAAATACCAATTTGAAGTTGACCAATTTTTGCGCGTTCCAGACTTTATTTATGATTTTGCCGTCTTCGGCTAAGTTATTCAAATGAGTAAGGCTTTCCTGATGATAGACACATATTATCAACGTGTAGTGAGAAAATCATGAACTTTTCTGACTTCCATTCGGAAGGCCTCAACCAACTAAACACCTTTTCCGAGCATAGCAAACTTTCTAGATGATCAGGATATCAACAGAAACGAAGTCCACATTCTCACTAGCACTGTGTAGTGAGAGAATTCTGAACTTATCTGATCAACTTTTCCGAAGACGAATTCTTCCTAGATGATCAAGATCGCAAGATAGATCTTATACAGCGCGTATTGTCTAGCACAATAGCGCCATGTCGAGAGAAAACTCAGAACCGCTGGCCTCTAATCAAATTGTCTTAACCCATTGTACAACTTTGCCGTAGACAGTGACCATCTGTATGGGCAGGATTACGAGATTTTCAATGTGGCCATCTTTTCCCTTAGTGTGGTGAAAGCCCTTACCCTTACCATGAAATTATTGTTGCTTTAGTTAGGCCTTTTTTTGATCATTATGAATCATCATAAAATGAAAAGTTACTATAGGAAACACTTAAAGATCAGAGGGGAAACAGTCGTATTGTTGCGATACGTTAGAAGAGTTAGGAGCTTATTGTTGTGTATGGAGACCTCCATACACAATAGTAGGCTTCTAACGCTCCTAACGTACCACAACAATAGGACTGTTTCCCCTAGTTAATCTTCCTGAGTGAAAAGCAGCCGAGAAGAGAAGCAAGACACATACCGAGAGATAACGATGCCGCAGAGCAAAGCTATGAAGGCACCGGTGGTGTGACTGGTTTCTTACTCCCAGAGTGTCTGGGTTCAATCCCAGCAGAGGGCGTTGAGATTTTTGAGGTGCAAAAATCAAGCGCTGTTGTAAAACCGTTGGCCCCAGCCCCTATTTTTGATCGGTTTGATATAACCCATGTGTGAAAGTCGCCTGCCTGTCATTTGATTGCCTTCAATTAATGACAATCGATATCCGTCGGTGATTGACACTCGATTCTCGCTTTCTGAAAAAAAAAATAAGAATGGAAGAAAAGGACGTTGAAGCAGGGAAAAGGAAGAAGGAACCCTAGTTGTATCCTTCCTTGTATGAAAACTTCAAAAACCAAGCCTTGACTGTTTATAATCTGAAAAAAACTGACATACAAATAATCCTAACTACTATTTAAAGAATTAAGTTGAACAATTGGAGACTAGGTAATCCCCGCATGCTCCCTTTCCGAATCCCACATACCCCATTCATCTTTCCCTTAATTACCATTCAATACCGAGCTATAAATGCAATATCACCCACTTATCAAATTCCTCCATCTCCGCCACTAATCTCTTCAGCCTCGCTCGCTCTCTTGGGAACCCTTCCGCACCGTTTGCGCGCATCCATTCGGCAGCCGTCGTAAATCTTCCTCCGTCCGTCTGTCCGTCCATCTTCCGCTGCCTGCCACACAATTCTCAATTTCGGCTTCATTTCCGTTCCCTTTGGGCTTCGGGTTGTTCCGTATGCCAGGCCAGCAGTGCTTAGTAGGCAGATGAATGTAACACACCGCTCGTGGCACCACCACCGCCACCATCACCGACCGAGCAGAGCTGTGCTGAGAGCCCGCTACATTTTCACAGCTCTCTTTGCCGGTGTGTGCCGAAATGTGTTGCTCGTCGGCAGGGAAGATAGACACAAGAATCACGCTCCGATGACTGGCATGATTATGATCGCCACCGCTGCTGCTGCTGTTTTGTTCCTTATTTCTTCTCTCGGAAAGGTACAATCGGATAGTGGTACGCAATGTGTGCCCGGTACAATACATGTCTAATGTATGAACGGTCGATATGGTCGTCATCGTCGTTGATAGACTACGGAACTTTTGGGAAACGAAGCCTAGAGAGCAGAAGCCGGGTTGAGCACATTGTGTTGCTTTTCCCGGTCTTTTCCCACATGCTCTTCTCGCATCTCTAGCCATCGCCGTTGATCGTGTCCCCTTTTCTTCGGTTGCTTTGTGTCTGTTTTTTTGAATGGAATCGAAAACACGAGGAAAATTTAGAGCTGTCAACGGCAGATAGTGATGGATATTCGAAGACGATAGATAGCAGGCCAGAGTGCGCTCAGGAGAGCAATTAGACAGCGGTTTGGCTTGGAGTTGATCCAAATCAGTGCCTAAGTAGAAAGGTAAACAATGCATTCTGTCAATATCAACACCGGCGCACCAACCATACGGTGCCACATGGTGCCATAATGTTTTTATGACAAATTTATGTATACGGTGCGACAAATTGCGTATTATCGGCATGGGGCGCACGCTTTGTTTGTGTTCGTGTGAATGATGCGAAGGGACTTACTTGATGTTTGGTTTCGCCTTGTTTATCATCATCTCACACTGTGGACAATACTGCTCCGTACGCAAGTGTTTCATAATGCAGCTATGGCAAACTGAAAGTAGAAAAAGGAGAAGACCAGATGAGAAAGACAAACATTAATAACGATGACGATGCGGTGTAGCAGTGGAGGCTCCGTTGTTCGCTCTAGGATTGTTTACCAAGTCCTTGAGAGCGCCGTTGATTGTGTTGGTCTCGAAGGTCTGAGAGAGTACGAGAGACTGGGCAATCTCGTGGGTGTTTGCAGGGGATCGAGTTCCCCGCGCTAATGAGCAAATCAAATTATTCATCCATAATAAATTCGTTTGTAGATGGCAGAAGTGCCCTAGGGAAGCAAGATAAATGATGCGAGATAAGGCCGTTGTATACGTTGATGACATCGAAGGAAACACGTTGCATCCCTGTTTCTCCCTGTTGCGAAATGGTATTGCAATTTGGCATATTATTGTTTACGTCGTTAGCAGCGAGACGAAAAAAGGTCTAGGGAGCAGCCCGGCTTGAAGAAGAGTTATTATAATTCCGTCCCTTCTTTCGAAGGGCCTGTAAGCGATGCCTTGCCGAGAAGACGGTTATTATTATTCCGCTTGTATCCCTAGGCAGCCGAGCTGCGGAGAATGAAAAGCTTCAGAAGAGCATGGAAGCATGCGATAAAGGAATTCATCCTTGAAAGAGAAGCACACAAAAACAGGATTGCACAGGAAGTGGACCCATGCGGACGGCATCGGTGACGGCGGGTACCGGTGCGTCATTTGTCAAATATTTAGATGTTGGGTAATTCGATACTCACATGAATGTAGACACTCAACGATGGTGGTTGCATCGATCAGGTAACCTTTGCACAGATTACACGTGATGTAGGGATTAACCGAGCTAAGCAGAACCTTGCTCGGTTTGTACGGCGATTCGGGACCATTGACGACCGTAGTCATGGTCTTGGCTGCCTTGGTCACTTCACCAGCCATTTCGGTATTGTGCTTCCTAGCAGCAGCCGGCTGAAGAACCATTTAGAATAATCCTCAATAATCCAAGTGCATGCGTAATCCAATCATGTGTAATCCAAAAATGGTCACTGACAGTATTCCACTTAAGACTTCTTCACATCCACTTAATTTTACCCATTATAAAACCAAATTTCCGTTTCTCTTAATTTCTTCACGTTCAACGCAAAACAAAACAATCTCTCAACGCGGCAACCCCAATTTAATAACACCATAAAAAACCTCTTCAATCACCAACAGGCACGCATACATCCGCACCCTCACGCCGCACAACACAGTTGAGCCTATTCCAAATACACGCCGCGAAAGGTTGATGAAACACGAAAAATCGAGTGCGCGCGTAACGAACCAGTTTTATGCTGAGGTCTTCAATCTCTTCTTCGGCTTTTTTGCTTTCCGAGAATCACTTTAATCTCTTCTCCACACTATCGCTCTCTCCCACTCTCACTACCACCGTTTTTTGTTCTCTTTCTTGAAAACACGAACGACACGCTCGCGAGGCACTCTGGTCCACGTTCGACGACCAAATGATGACGATGCAAGCGCTTCATACACTACGAACCACCGCTAGCCACCGATGGGGAACACATTCCTCCTCGGTCGTTGTGTTAGTGCGAACGTTGAGCACTCACACTTGCAGAGCGACTTTTTTATGTGCTCGCACTATTTGAAACGCAGTTGGTTGTTAAATTATTTCGCCTGGCTGAGACCAAAATTATCTGATCGTGCGGCGATTGCTTTGATGTTTCACTAATCTTTTGAATTTTCTCCTTCGATCACTTTGATATTATGATATTGGAATGGCAACTGCACTGCCCTGTTGTGGTTAATTAATTAAAACTCCCTTGGGATTTACACAGCACGGGGTCCTTGAATGTCAAATACGACCAACGTGAATGCTGTCTCGAACGAAACTGAGCCTGCTATGTACCACTCGCGCGGCAGGCCCTTGTGGCAACAGCTGTACGTACATAAGCCCCTGCTCGGTCGTACATACATTAGCGGGTTCTTCCTTCTTACACATACCACCGCACGAGCTCCGCACGGTTCGTCGGTCGTTTCTTCTCACTCGCTCAGCTCTTGCTCTCGTTATGCAGGGAGCCACACGAAGGAGCTTGAAATTTGATCCCCCTCTTTATGTTTGCGTCGCACTGTCTCGCTCTGGCCGACCGTGAGAGCTTTGTTTTGCATTCACTCACACCCTCTCTTTGCCACTTCATCGGTGGATGACAGCGTACTCTCGCACATAAGAGCAACTTTATATAATCGTTTTGGAAGTGCTCGCTACGAGATAGGTGTTCACTATATAAACCGTTCAACTTTCGGTTTGGTTTTGCTGGTTGCGACTTTAAGTTGAATGAAATGGGATTTCAGATGTTTTGAATGCTAGGTGATTTAAATTAATTTCAAGGATGTATTTTTGATAGAAACCCAATGCTGAATGGCGTTGCTTTGGATAATTGAACAGAAATGTATTTGAATGTTAGAACTTGTAGGTCCAATCACATCAACAAATGATTAACAGTTACTGTACAGAAGATTTATAATTCTCAGAGCTACCATCAGCTTGCAAGAAAAACGTATTCAATAAATCCAACATCCAGGAAAACAGTTTCTATTTAATCTCGCTCGTAGTCCCATTCTTCCTGTTTACATAAACGGTGCAAGCTGCGCAAATACATCACCAACACTTCAAGCGAACAGAAAAGCAAAGAAAATCATCACCACACATCAGTCGACACGATGCGCAAATACTTTTTCATGTGTTTGTGTGAGCCCGTCTAATATGCCAAGCGAGCGTCGTAACCGTACGTGCACATAAGAGTCGTTATGAATAACCATCGACAGCTGCTCCCTGGTGCAAGTATATAAAACTTGAAACGCGGCGACACAAACCGAAAAAGGCAAAAGCGTGAAACAATTTTCGATCGTATCGCTGCTCGTTGCCTCGAGGAAATTTAATTACAATATATTTGATTACCATCGAATTTTATGTGATTGGATTGGAATATTCAAAGGAAACGTGTAAAAGCGAAACATATTATGGATACTGGAGATGTTTAGTAGAGAATAGAAACAAAAAAACAATTCTGTCAGAATTGCTCGGTTATGAGTAACCTATCCAACTGAATCGCATGTACATAATTTATTCAAGAATTGTTTCGATTCTCCCCTTTCCTATCAACTCAACATTAATCCTCTCCCCACCCAGACAAATCCCACCTTCGCTTCTCAACAGGATGAAAGCATTGCTGTAAATTATCTGCCTCACAAACACATCTACTTCGTAAAAAGTGACGCATCAAATTCCCCCTTTCACTGTCAAAAGAAAAAAAAATCATTACTACTCCCCATGTCCAAAAACCAGACCCTCAAGGCAAGAGCTTCGTTAAAATTCAAACACATTCTATGCTCCTAATGCCCCTGGTTTCTCTCACACACTTCACGCTTCCAACGTTCAACTACTCCAAGCGCGAACCAAGTAAACACATCCTGCCTGCTTATGTATTAGTTATACCTTTCCATTCCTGCAATCCAAGCAACCGAAGAAAAAGTACATAACAAACTTTTTTCTTCGTTCATATCTCCTTCCACACGAATCTTCCCCGCAGCAGCAGCAACAGCAGAACAGCAATCTCCTACACAGTTTTTCCATTTGTTTGGGATCCCATCAAAACGAAAGGTTAGTTGTTATTTATTTTTCAGTACAAAAACGACAGAATAATACCTATCGAAAGATTCGAATGTGAGGAACGAGGAGCGAAAGAGAAGTCTTCGATCGATTTGTGTGAGTTGCCCTGGCTTCTCTGGACTCTGGCATCGGCTGCTACTAGACAAGGAAGCGCGTGTTGTACGTATTGAATAATAATCGCTCCCCTGAGATAGCAGCAATGATGATGATGAAAACGGCGGCGACAACGATCGATGACGTGATGAATCAATTTGAAATTTTAAATGGTTTCTTCCGATTTTATTTGGGTGGATGCGAGGTATTGGAAATAGATTGGGAATACAACTTCGTAGATTGTTTCATGTTACACTCAAAAATTGCTTGACACCATAGAATCATGTGCTTTTCACACGGATGTCATGAGATATACACTAAAAAATAATATGTTTTTGTTGCTTATGAAATCAATACTAACCACACATTGATTTTATGTGTTTACTTATCGAAATCAATGAGATCCTCATATAATTCTGCGCTACTGTTTTCTACTAGTGTATTTAACGTGTATGACACATGAATCGCACGGGATCTCACTGTAATGGTGAGAAGAGTGCCTAAAGTGTCAAGACCAACATGGAAGGCAACAGCAACTGTGCGAAGAGAGCAAGCTTTTTAGTGGAGTTAGGTTTTCCTAACGAAATTATCAATTGTGAGTACATTTTTTGTATGATAAGATATATTTATAACATAAATGTAATATTTTCATTACAGAGCACGGAATTGATCCAACGAACTTCGACGAAATTACTGAGTTCCTCCAAGAACTTGGACTGGCACAAGTAGTCAAAAACGAGGAAAAAACTACTCTCGCATTCACGGTATATGCATTTTGGAGTAGTCGATCAGTGCATATTATTATAATCTCTCTTTTGTTTTCTTTTTTCCATCACGAACAACAGGAAGCAGTGAATATAATTCCGCTAGTGCAATCATCACCCTTTGACCCGAATTCGGCAGCTGCTCCATGCAGTACTGATCAATTCTTTGGTGAACCATCGAAACACCATTTCATACTGAGGTAACTAATTTCGCTTTATTCAATAATAATTTATTATACAGACGACTACAAAAGTCGTCGCTGTACCCAAATTGAGTCCGTCGTCAACGTCATCATCATCATCAACACTTATTCTTCTACCGGTTGGTGGCCCAGAGGAAGTAGTTGAGTCCAACCAGTTGGTAGCTACGTCATCTCCGTGTAAGGCGAGTGAGCCTTTAAGTGAGTCGTCGGAAGTACCAATCCAGTTCTAAGGTAACATTTGTTTATAATCTCGATGATCCATTCACATAAATTTCCTGTAAGTGTTTTCAATTACAGTCTGTGAACCTTCCTAAGACTGTTTTGAAACAAATTGAAAACAAACCAGACAGCAACCTCGACAACCACAACGCTTCACAGGTTTGATATGCAATTTTTCAAAAGTAGTTATTTTATCTGAGATTGTTCTTTCGGAGTGTATAAATAACTATCTTCACGATAGAGTTTATCTGAGAACTACTTTGCATCAAAAGCAGCTGATAGCTTTATTCAGACTGTTTATATAGGTCGCTTTTCGTGCAGTTTACATTTCATATTTGTTGCACACTTTCGTTCGCCTCTACAGAGGGTTCGCAAAGAATAAATTGTATATTTGACTATGGTGTTCATTTTTAAAGTAGTTAAAGGTTTGCTGCCTCGATATTTGTGTAATCGAATTGAAAGAGGAAGTGACTTTCATAGATATAATACTAGAAACGCGGTTGAAATAAGAACACCACATTTCTTGACTTGTGCTGCACAAAATTCATTATATTTTAAAGGAATACATGTTTTCAATTCGATGCCAAGACATATCAAACGTTTAGCAATACTAACAAAATTAAAAAAAAAAAACACTGCATTTCACACGTTAAAACTGTCTTTTGAACAGTTATCCAATGTTTTTTCTGAATTGTGTTCTTTAAGGGTATTGAGGTAAATGCATATTCGTAATCTGCATTAAAAATGGAGCCCAAACCTAAAATTTCATCAATTTTGGCACACTGGAACTAATTTAAATAAGTACGATTACATTTGCAAAAATCACCTAATTAGCGCCCCTCGGTGTCACTTTGTATGGGAGCGAGCTGTCAGTTTGCCAGTTTGTCAGTTTAGTGTCAAACAGTGAAATTATTATTTTGCTTTAAATCATGATTTAAAAATCGAGATGAAAGTGCGTGGGGTTGAAAAAAATATCGTTGAGCTCAGAAAACGAAGCTCTTTCAGATGATATATAAAAAAACCAATATATTTTTCAAAATTAAAGAACCCAATTGACAAATTATGTATCTTGACGAAGTTATCTCTAATGGATTATTTTGTATGGATAGCTGTCATAACGACTTTTTAATAATTATTGTAGCACTGCAATAACTATTTTTGTTCGCACGATTTTTAATATTTGATTTAATAGTAATAGATTAATTAAGTAGTCTAAAAAGGTTTGAGCCTCGCGCGCGTATTACGGATATAGAGGGCTGAATTTAACGATTGATACAAAAAATGCAATTTTGAAGCTTATTTGGAAGATACCTTGAGTTAGTAGTAAGTTTTCTGGCAAATGTTGGGGGTTCGTGAGCATTCCTGACATTGCTGAAAATTATGATAGCATCAGATTGCGGGGTTACTAGTGTAATAGGATGCTTTTTTGATTGTTCATTAACTCTTGATTGCTTGTAATACTTATGAATATTTTAGGTGGACAAAAAGGCGAACTAAGAGGACGCCTGAGTTTTTCCACATTTATATCGCTGTGAATCAACTTTAAACTCTAGAGGGAATTTATATCTGTAACTGTAACCAGTTCGATTTTGTTTGCAAACCTGGTTAAATTGTCATATTTAATTATCTTAAAGATAAATCGTCTAGCTCAAACCTTTGTAGGGCTAAGAGGTGGGAGGTGGAAAGAGAGGGACCATCATCAAAAGTTGTTGGATAAATTCTCCGTCGAATGATATATTGCCTGACATATTTCCCAGTTCAGAGAAATATGCGCTTGAAAACTTACCACATTTTCGTTACATGCCTCATTTTAGGGTATTTCCGTTGATATCCTTTATACTGCCGTTCTACGCATAACTGTTAGTTTTAGCCAAATTTAACCTCAAATTATGCTTTTGGGTTGTTTATTAGACGCCATCTTATGA